TGGTGATGGTGGTGATGATGATGATGGTGATGATGGTGATGATGATGATGATGATTTTTTGTTTTCTGAAGTTCAAGAATCAAATCCATTTTATCATTTATGGAATATTGTGCCTAAAGGTCCCATAACGCCCTTGTGCAATCTGATGGAGGGAAAGACGACTTTCGACAATCTAAATACAAGCAATTTTCCTTAGATATAAGTGAAAATCTCTTGATGATTAAAAATGGAAAATTAAAAAATTACTGTTCTAATTAACTTCGTAGCCAGTGATCAACGTTTTCCCTTTCTAACATATTAGTTAATCAGGCACGCTTTCCACAGTTTGATGTTATCGTTTGATTTAGAGCTCTTCAGACGTGGTGGAAAGAGCGTAAGGAACCCAAGAACAAGCAATTGCCCCAGTACATACAGGACTTCAACCTTAGTGCCCTTGAAGAGCATTTTATGTTCTGGGAGTACCTGGAAATCGGTAAGAACAATATTACAAATTAATGCACTTTCTATTACAAACCCTTGCACAAATACCAGTGTACCTTATTTTCAGGTCGGATCAATGAAATATGTTCAATTAATAAGTTGAAAGGGTCAACAAATTGAAATGCTGGCTTCAATTCGATCTGATTCTTGTAGTTTAATTGAGTATGCATCCTACTTGGAAACAGTTCTAGTGGTTGTGTTTTCAAAAGCCGCTAAATTGGCATTACCAAGAGAAAATGAAGGAAGAGAAGAAATCTCTGGTATTCATGCTTGTAACCATCATAGACACCGTTTGACGCTATTGTTAGAATCACATTTGCCATCGTTTGTTTTTCTGCGGGCGCTCTACCCTGTTTGCTTAAGTTTTCTTGAAAAACAAAAGAAAACGTGAACAACCAGGGTAGAGCGCGCGCCGTATCTGCGTGAAGAAAAACAATTAACGATCAAAATAAATGATTCTAAAAATAGCCTCAAAGATTCTATAAATAGCATCAAAGAGTGCTCATGATGGGGCGCGGGATTTCCTTTTCTTAGTTCATATTCTCTTGCATTTACATACTTCTTAAATACTTTTTAGCGTTCAAAACTGTTTTATTTGCGCTACTAGTTCTCGGGATTTTTCACCCACTATCAACGTTAACTTATTTTTCAGTTCTTCAGTACGGTTTCGTAACGATGTTCGTGGCAGCCTTCCCTTTGGCTCCGCTCTTTTCTCTGCTCAATTCAGTCATCGAAATTCGAGTGGATGCAATCAACTTTGTCACCCAGTTCAGACGACCTGATACTGTGATTGCAGAAGATATCGGCGCCTGGACACGTATCCTCGATGTCTTGACTCGCATCTCTGTACTGGTCAACGCCTTCATTCTCGCTTTTACCTCGGAGTTCATCCCGAAGTTGGTGTACAAGAACATGGGCGACGGGACATTGAATGGATATCTCAATAACAGCCTTTCAAGTATCAATGTTTCGTATTTTGAAGCAGGGTCCGAGCCTCACGATAAGTACCAGAATGGATTGAACTACACGCGTCCTATTTGCAGGTAGGTCTCCTTGTTCAGGAATGGATACCAGAATTGAAGAACGGACATTGCATAAGCAATGATACAAATATAATATTTTAGATATGTGAAAGAAGTGAACGACTGCTAGTCTTTCACTTAAAATTCTTATTAAACAGTTTTTTTGTCCATTAATCTGCTGATAACACGACATGTGCCCTTTCAAGCAAATGAATCCTTTTTTTTTTCTTCTTCAAGTCTTTATTATCAAACGGGGTCAAAAAAGCTTTGCTATCAGAACAAGTTGATTTGCAGGATGTCATTTAGGGACCAAAGATGACATAGTTTGTTCTTTTCGTGTTAACTAAGCTAACTCAGTGCTGATGGCTTCGGGAATAAGGGCATTAGGAAGTGGCGGATTGAAAGGGTGGTGACCATGAATTAATAGGGGGAGTCAAGAAATCTTGCTAATTTTATGTTCTTACATGATTATATCTTATCAATATCAAAATCTACAATGCTACAGTGTTGAATCAGGAAAATGCGCTTCCCATAAAAAAGGGATGTTGAATTTTGGCCTACTTTTAAGCTGTTGTTTTTTTCAGCGTGTGTGTGTGTGTGTTTGTGTATTAGCTGTGCTTCTAGAAAATAGAATAAACTGTTAGTACTGTTATGCGTTTTTAATTACAATAAAGGATTTTTAAGGATATGGATTTATCCCAACAGGTACAAAGGCTATTACGAATCCCAGCCACCATTTGGCCCAACCAAAAYCTACTGGCACGTGATCGCTGCACGCTTGGCTTTCGTGTTTGTATTCCAATACACAGTCTACGCCATCACTGCCTTTATTGCAAACGTCATCCCTGACAAACCAGCCTCCTTAGATCTCCGTATGCGGCGAGAGGAGCACATCACTAAAAAAGTACTGTATGGCAAGGGAAACAAAGATAACAGTGATGATGTTGATTCTGGACACAGCAACATGCTGTAGTGCTGCACGTCGAGAAAAACGCAGTTCGCTCGATCATTAAAGTGAAATAGTATTCAAAAAACTTGGTAAATTCTTCCGACTAGAGACAACTTTTGAATCCAGATAATTCATTAAAAAAAAAAAGAAAAGAAAACTTGGAATAAAAATAGACAGGTAAGATTGCAGTCAGATTAAGCTATAAAAATAACAAATAAAAAACTTCAAGAATAAATGAAAATGCCCAACTCGCGATATTAAATTTGACAAGCATACATTTATTGCATCGATATAAATGTAATCTTACATAAATCTGCTATGTGTAAGGAATTATTACTTTGGAAGGCTTTAGAAGAATCCGCGATGAGTGAAAAACGTAAAACGAAATGAATGTGCATGTAAGAGGAAAATCATGATTGATCGGTTTACAAACTTTTCAAAATCTTCTCAATCAGATTGAGAAAATCTCTCTTGAATAGTCTAATCATTTAAGAAGAATAACAGGAAATTTGTTTTGGAAAATTTTTGTAGTAACTATATTCACATCATAACAGTAATACCATTTAACCAAATGATCTTTCTCAATATTTCATGTTAATTTTCCCGCCATTGATACTCAATAAAGTAAAATGCATATCAATCTATCGAGTACATGTGTGTAGTTTGCCGTGTCATTTCAGTGCGCCGCTGAACAAGGATTTGGTTTGGCTTACTCAGCTATGCATCCCACATGGATCAGAGTATGATCATAACGAGAACTTATCTTACGACTTAGAATGGGGTAGGCTATAAACCTCTCCCTTCCTGGCTTCCTCATCAGTCATTGCGGATAGCAGGGTTGGGGCAGATATCTCCAGCATTACATAGCTATATTATAAATGCTGATTGCGGCGATGCGATGCTTGAGCATTCGATGTCTGCCGGGAGAATGGTTACTTTTAAAGTCTCTGCGCATTTGTTAAATTTAGCCGCGAGGGAGTGTGTCGGTTGACGAGCTCGAGGAGAAACGCCATTTTTGACAAATTGGGGAAAAAAAGGGTTAAATACATGTTCTTCCTAAAGCACTTCATTGGTTGTAAAAACATTGTCTAATCTTGAAAATTGGCAACATCGTGGTCTTGACTGTTGCAATCTAAAGTGGGTTCCCTGTCTAATACAGTACACAGGAAGCCCGCCGTCTTTTCCAGGAGAAATTCGTCTAGCTCTTGCGTCTCTGACAGATTTCTGACATGCTTTCTGTATGTTCTGGTTGTACTCTGGGTTGTACTGAAGCCAAACAAGGTGAAAATCTGAGAGAAATTTAAGAAAACAAGGCTAAATATGCGTAGAAGTTCAAGAATAGCCTCCAAGATAGTGGAAGATGTGTCGAAAGGACAAAGGAGAAAAAGAGAAGCCAGTGGTAGTTTATCAGAACCTGAACAACAGACGGTAGTACACGTGAAAAAAACAGCCAAGAAGAAAACAAAAATAGAACAGAAAACCATCATAACAACAGAAGATACAGAAATGAAACCTTTGAAACCTAAGGACGAGGTAGATGCACAATCCAGTACAAAGAGAAAGCCTCAAAAGGCAGTCAAAAGTGATAAACAAGAAGCAACCATTTCTGGCGCCAAAGGTGATAAAGACGTGAAACCTTCCCCAAACAAAGTCTCTGTAAAGAAGAAGTTCATTGGAGCCCATGTGTCCATCAGTGGAGGTCTCTACAATGCAGTGTATGGTGCTGTAGAGATCGGTGCTAAAGCATTCGGGATGTTTTTAAGATCACAGAGACAGTGGAATAGCAAGCCCTTGGATGATAAGACCGCAGAAAGGTTCAGAGAAGCGTGCAAAGCTGAGGGTTTTTCGCCTCGTTATATTCTTCCTCATGGTATCTATCTCATGAACTGTGGCTCTCCTGATGCCGAAACGCTTGAAAAAAGTCGAAATGTTTTGATAGAAGAGCTACAGAGATGTGAAAAGCTTGGTTTGACATTGTACAATTTTCATCCAGGATCTACATGTGGGAAGATTTCTGTGGAAGAATGCATAGCCAGGATTGCAGAGAGTATTAATATTGCACACACCAAGACCAAATATGTGACTGCTGTGATTGAAAATATGAGCTGTCAAGGCAACACGGTGAGTAAATAAATACATCTTACATACATATTTATTTCCACGTACCATCCCCCACGGCTTTTGCTGCATAATAGGACACAGGGTCGTCTTGAAGGTATATTGCACCAATTTCCAACCCCATAAGATCCCCATACCCATCCCACAATCAACCCTTTAAGAAATCATTAGTAAAGGCCAGACACTGAGGGTGGTCACTGCAAGGGCATTTCCTTAGTGGTTCTTATTGATGTCCCTCAGTTGCAAGGTGAATTAGTGTGGAGAGATGGGACATCCATTATACATGGTCATCTATCACTACAAAGGCAGCGCCTTCTCCTCAGTTATTTTAAGACCCCGGGTGTTGGTCTGGCTAGTACTCAAACCATGTCCTCCCGCATACATGCATACACATACATAAATACATACTTTATTTGTCCTCTTTAAGGCTTTTCAGAATAAAGGGAGTGAACATGACATTAACAGTATGATAGTCTCAACCAACCGGATATTTCCCAGTGAGGATTGGAACTTCATTTTTAAAAAGGGTGGGAAAGTGCTGTGTGGGAATGGATTGGGCTACACCACAATAACTAGTGCCATTGGTGTAATAGACCCTTTGCATACATGTGAATGTACTAATATCCACAAAAGTACCTTTCAATGATGCAATGACACAATGGTTCTTTAAATACACTTTTTGTTTCATGTACGGAAAGAAGGCTTAGTCTTTTCTGCATATGATTAGTACAGTTATACAAAGAGTCCATACACTAGTCTCCATCACCATCACCCCAACCCTCATAGGAATATGTATACATAACATAGGAAACATGTTCACAATGCATGTTTATCTAATACCCAATTCCTCAAATTACAAAATAAATCAATGCTGACTTTTTCTTCACCATAAGATACCATGTTGATGCCCCAAGCATTTATGCTGTTAAAGGCATGTTCACCCCCGGTTCTCAAGAGTGTAAAGTGTAACTTGAATAGGAAGAGTTCGTATTCCTTTAATGACATGTACTTGCAAGGCTCTCAAATTTGTAGAATGGGGATTTGAATTTGTTCGTTTTTGAATTGGCAAAATAGGCTTTGATGCATAATAATGGAATTAGGTAGCTGAGAATAGAAAAAAATAAAACATGATGATGGGGTTTATTAAATGGTTATATTGTTTGTATATGTAATAGGTCACTGGCTATGCTGTCCAATTCAGAAATAAAAATTTGAAGAAGGAAAATATTCTGAGGACTGTTATAATCAGAATTGACCGATCCCGACTATGCTTGAGTGTCCAACCAAACAATGGGTAGTTTTTTCCAATGGAATACAGAATGTCCGACCAACAAACTCAAACCCATTAGATTTTTAGTAGTCATTGATTATTTTCTTCATTGACCTTGAGAATGCATTTATTCTAGGACAGACATTTTCAATTTTCAGCAATCAGTGTCTGTTCCATGCTGTATATCAAAAACACATTTTAACTTGTCCGACGTATCAACAGTAACTAGGGAGGTACAACAATGAATACAGGATCAGTGTAATGGGGCAGTCAGAGGAATTTTTTTTAGTCTAATTATTCTTAATTGTACAGCATGGAATGCCATTAGTATAGGTAATAGGACTACAGTGCATGCTGTTTAATTTGGAAATAATTAGATAAAAAAAAATTCCGAGGACTAACAAAATAGGAAGAGGCCAATAGGCCGATCCAGCTTGGCAGTCAAAGGAATTTTTTGAATTCAATTATTTCATAATTGGACAGACATGTAGTCCTATTGAAAATTAAATATATCATCCAAAACTATACTAGACTGATTCCATAAGTCAAAATTTTCCCTCGAAAGAATGCGAATGGAAACTATCCAAATAGGCCTTTCCCGAATTCGCTTAACTGATCATGAAACATTGGTTTCAAGTTGAGGTTGAGGTTCATGAATAAAAGAATCATGTCCAGTCTCGACTTCAAACCATTGTTTCATGGTCAATCAAGCGAATTTGGGAAAGGTCTATTAATCTTTAATTTGAACAGGAAATTTTAAAATAATACAATAGTTACTTATATGGGATTATAGAGTGACGATACAATTACCTATTATTATAGAGCTTTAATCAATATAGGTAAAAGCCGCAACATTCTTTAATTTTCAAGAACTGCCCAATTAAGAAAATAATTGGACATGAGTAACCCATATTGGACTAATAAGTAGCTATTACAATTGCATACAGTTAAGGGGTTTATTTTATGTTCAAAATTTTTTCAGATTGGAGGAAAGTTTGAAGAGATCAAAGACATCATAGATCAAGTAAAGGACAAGAGTCGTGTTGGAGTATGCTTGGATACATGTCATACCTTTGCTGCAGGATATGATATCTCTACCAAGAAAGGCTATGAAAGTGTAATGCAGGACTTTGGCAGGATCATTGGTTTCAAATATCTAAAGGGAATGCACTTGAATGACTCTAAAGGTGAAGTGGGATGTCATCTGGACAGGCATGAGAATATTGGGAAAGGAAAGATTGGGAAAGAAGGGTTTCAACGTCTAATGCAAGATTCAAGATTGAATGGAATCCCAATGATTTTAGAAACTCCTTGTGTTTCTGATATGACATATACAAAAGAAATAAAGACTCTCTATTCCATGGTGGCATGACTGCTATGTGGATACAAG